TCTGGAGTAAGTTCAAATTGAAATCCAAGGTTTCTCATCTGTGGAAGTGACATCAACAATGGGACATCACCTTCTTCGACAATGTCGAATTCTGTAAACTGAGTGTTCCATCCATGATCATACATGAATATCACGAGCTTCTCAGTACATTTTGATTGTTGTGAGTTTGCAAAGAAAAATCTTGAACTTGTTGGCTGAATTTCATACCAGAGTCCACTGTTGGGATGTGAGTCAACATATCTGCAAAATGCTTCAACTGCTCGTCGAGAGCCCATAGCTCTTGTGCATCCAAGATCCAGAATACACACGGTTGGTGGTGCAGAATTCTCTGTGTGAAAAGCTAGTCCATTCTCACATGCCAGATCAGTTTGTACAGTATGAAATGAAAAAGCACTCTGCTGTGATGGTTCCTCTATCTCTGTAGAGCATCCATGTGAAAACAATGATGTGCCTTCTGCCAATGGCTTCCATGAAGCCTCACCTTCTTGAAGACCAACTTGCCTGGGCACTACAGCTGGACGTTGTTGTACACCTTGTCGTAGTGCACCAACTTCTCCAACCAGAACAGGGAATCTCTTCATTTCTCTCCTGTTTTGATGTGCTCTTGCATCACGTTGGTTCTGTCCTCCACGACGAGTACGTCGTTGTTCATCTTGTGCTGCATACGTGGATGTCAAAACATCAACACGTGCTGGCTCTGTCTCTGCAACATCAACACGTGCTGGTTCAGTTGTTCCAAATGAAAAGAAACCATGACCAGAACTTGAAGCTGCAGAAGAATAATGAGCTTGTTGAGTTGGTTGATTCTGTATGGCAGGAGCTGATGTGGTCTGAGGTTGAACATAGTTCGACTTGCCTTTTCCATCTCCTGGCTTTCCTCCTTTTCCATCATCATCCTTGCCTTTCTTGCCTTTCTTTCCTTTTCCTTTTCCTTTTCCTTTCTTCTGGAAGTATCCATACTCATCCATGTAGTACAGATCATCATAGGCCCAATAGCCTTCATTCCAGGTTTGATCATCGGCCCAATAGCCGTCATAGTTTTCATTCCATTCATCTTCTTGCCAATCTTCTTCATAACCTTCTTCACTCACCATGTGAGCACGGCCTTTTCTTCTTCCTTTTCCTCGGCCTTTTCCTTTTCTTGATCTGAAGAACCTTCGTCCTCCTCTGCCTTTTCCTTTTCCTTTTCTCTTTCCTTTACCTTTGCCTCGTCTGATGTATTTGCCTTGGAACCTTCTCTGATACCATGTGAAGTTGGCGTCATCATAAACCCAGAAAACATCTTCTAAAGCATCCAGGAATCCTTCTGCGCCGTCTTCTTCATCTTCGGCCCAATAGCCGTCGGTTCCTTCTAATTCACCTTCATCCAGTACGAGGAAAGATCTTCTCTGTGCCATGCCAGAGGGTTGCATCAATGGATTGTCAACTGCTGTCTTGGTAGTGCAAAACATTTCCAAAAACAGGTCACGTAGTTCTTGAATGTTGTATCGATCGAGGGTTCGTCCACGATGTGTCATGATACTTGTGAGTGTGTTTCTCTGATCTTGACTCAGGTCAGCTAGACTTACAAAAATCAATGCTAGCAAATTTTCACCCAGTGGGAATGCTTGTCGCTGTGCTTCTCTACGATTTTCCTGAAATTGTCTGAATGCCGCTAGTGCCAGTTCATCTGTCCAAGGAACAGCTACATGGGGTGTTCCTGAGGCTGCTGCTACTTCAGCTCTTTCTTGTTGATCTCGTTCATGTTCTTGACGTCGTTGTTGAACAAACAGGATTGCTTCAGGACTAGTCACTGTTACTTCTGGAAGTAAATCCATCCAAGACTCAATAAGTCTATTGCCAGTGAGTTGAAATCTAGTCATCCACTTCTGAAGATCCATGGTTCCTCTGTTGAACTTCATGAACTGCATGAAACGGTATAAGAACACGTTCTGGGCACCTTTGATGAAATGAGGTCGTAGAAATCTTTTGAAATAAGCCACTCCTTCATAGGGATCCCTGAGTAATTCTCTATCCAATAGCCTCTTGTATTGTTGAGCATCTCCTTCCAGTCTGTTGCGCAATGCTGGACCACGTTTCTCTGGTTCTAACTCCGTAATGTCACACCAGTCATCAATTGCATCCTCAAAAGCAAAGAAGCTGGTTCGCCCATCATAGGCTGGAGCAACCTTTGTGGTCATCTGTTGCGTCATATGAATCTGTGTATGCTGGGGTGCTCTTCTCATTGCATAAGAGTCATATTGGTTCCATTCATTTGCATCGACAATGTCGAAGTCATCATCATCATAGCCATGGCTTGCCATTTCTTGGGCTCTACCTGGAGCTCACCCTCAATGAGGGATCACGCTCCGCTACCACTTGAAGAGGGGCCCTAGCGTCTACTTCAAGATCAGCTAAGGCGTCTTCCCCAATGACAGCACTCTTTTACTCTCAGCCTGTTGCCGGTCAGTGCTTGTCTACAGGGTTACTCTATATACCTCTTTCTTGAGCCTTGAAGGGCGCATATAAATGTGCTCAATACTCATGCATGTACCTATGTAGGTATTAGGTCGAAACAAAAACAAGGGCGCAGCGCCTCCCCCCCAAAGCAGCATGAACATAGCTATTCTCACATGTATTGCTATCACGTGAATTTGTATAGGTATGCGCGGCATCAAAAGTACTTGGAGGATAGTAGATGTACAAATGGGCATGTTTGGCCGGGGAGAGCGTGCACATGTGTAAGCGTGGCTTTCATTTAGAAAAGAAACGGTAGGGTTGCTTGAGGCCGTTTTGAAGCTGGTTGATAGTTCTGACTTCGGTTTGGTTCAGGGTCTATTTTGGGGTTGGCATCTTTTCTGGCAACCTTTCTTTCCTTTCCTTCCTTTCCTTTCCTTTCCTTCATGTCCTTACTTTCCTTACTTCCCTTTCCTTTCCTTACTTTCCTTTCCTTTCCTTGCCTTTCCTTTCCTTTCCTTTCCTTCCCTTCCCTTCCTTCCTTCCTTCCTTCCTTTAAAAGAAATCCTTCCTTCCTTCCTTGGTTGCCTGCCTGCTTGCTTGCTTTCTTTCTTTCTTTCTTTCGTTCGTTCGTTCTTTCTTTCTTTCCTTCTTCCTTCCTTCCTTTCCTTCCTTTCCTTCCTTTCATTACTATCTAACTTCTTTCCTTTCCTCCTTGGTTTCCTCCTTCCTTACCATCTTTCTCTACTACTTCCTTCCTTCCTTCCTTCTTTCCTTCCTTCCTTCCTTCCTGCCTTCCTTTCTTCGTTCCTTCCGTCCGTCCGTCCTTCCTTCCTTCCTTCCCTAAAGTTTTTCTTAATCCCTATTAATGTTTTTTTGATCCCTAAAAATGTATTTTTGATCCCTAAGAATGTTTTTTTGATCCCTAAAAATGTTTTTTTATCCCTAAAATTGTTTTTTTTTATGCCTACGCCTGGGTACCCCTGGGTACCCCTGGGTACCCCTGAATCCACCGCTCAATCATTTTCAAAATTGTGATTTTGGGGGTACACCGGGCCTCATTTTCAGACACAACCAAAAGTACACAAATTCAAGCTGCTCTCAAGAAGACCAGTCTACTGGAGATTTAACTTCTTGATCTCCCCACGGCTACTCTTGGATTCAAACTACCGGGGCTCACAGTTGTCAGGCTTGGCTGTTCTCAGTTCTTCTTTGTGGATGGTCCACTACCGCATGCCAATAGACAGTCAAATTGCTGTTTGCCGCCTGATGTAGAAGGTCGATCCAAAGTTAAATCTTTGGCTGCGTTGGATCATTCGTAAAAAACTCTTCGTTGCAAAACGCCACAATGCCACAAAGCCATACAAAGCCTGGATGCAATGTTACAGTAACTAGGCTTCTAGTATGGGCCACCACGTCCTCATGCTTCGCACTGCATAACACGTCGCCAGGCAGACCGTTAAGACGGTGAAGATTCGCTCAGCGGTGTTGGTGGCCATGACCTTGCGAATGATCACATCCCCCAAGTATTGGTTATACCAGGTTATACCATGTTATACCAGGTTACACAAGGTTGCACCCCCGATTTGGGCCAATGCATAGATCCAGTATTAAACGAGGGTTGGTAGGGTATAGGTGTTATCAAGTATAATTATGTTTGTATCTTTATCTTCATATCCATATTGGGATTAGTCGTCCAACCCGCTTCCACATGGCATTGGAATATATAACACAATCATGTCATGCTGGAGAAAGCTCAACGCCTCCATTGTCGCCGGTGTGAACTGGCATAGCCTCGTGGCAACATGGTGGATGAAGAGATCACGTCCCCCCAAAGCCATCGCATCATCTGTATCTCTGCGGCAGACTTTGTCGAATGTATCTCGGATCATCCCGGACCTATACATACATCGAGACAAGACAATCTGAAAGCTCTGGTGCCCCATAGAAATCACTTCCCAATGATGAATCCACAATCATCAACGTCTGTGTGTGTGAACCTTGTGAACCTAGAGGGGCTACGTACAGAGAGTGTAGGAATGAGGCATAGCTCCTTGATGCCCCTTCGCTGCGTTTGTCACTGAGTCAGCAACGCCCAGTGTAGTGACCTTATCTTAAAAAAAATGTCTAAGACATCTGCAAGTCGGGGCGGTAAATTATCAAACATCTGACAGCTGAGTCTGCGAGTTGCGAATCCCTCAGCCAGCTACGTGAAGTATTGATATGCAAGCTCCAGCTTCCACATCTCCTTCACCTTGGAAGCCAGGTCTAGCCATTTCAAACAGGTGGTAAGGTATGGTAAGGAAAACCCAGTTGACACTGCCACATCGCCGTCACATCGCTGTGCAAAGCTCCAGGCCCCATTCAAGTCGTAAACTTTGATCCAAGTGATGGGCGCCTCCAAATCTCATCAATCGACAGCTTGGGTTCGACGACGGTCAGGGAAGGGGCGTTGTCATGCTGAAAAAAAATGGTCTCTCAGGGGAGGACCAGCAAAAAAAGGAAATTGTCTGTGTGTTTGTGCGTTTTTGTGTGTTGGTGTCAGTGTGTTTTCTTAATTTTTCTTAGGTTGGAGGAGAACCAATCAAAGTCACACAGGTTCTTCCTTCACGAAAGACTCCTTGGAAGCACCGGAAGCTTTTCCCTAAAGCAAACCAGGCACAAGCAACCTGAGCAGATGCAAAGTGTCTGCGGACTGGTACATGTAGAGCTGCATTTCAACACAAAGTGTGCAAAGTCTCAAGAAGGCACAAATCATCTTCAATTTTCACTAGCATCGTCATTGTGACCACCACAAGTGATCTATGGAACAAATTGCACTTCTATATTCGCTGCACCTAGAGCAAAGATGCCCTGGCGGGAGCTATGCCAAGGACATAATGATTCATCACAACGACAATCACGACCGCAAACCACCTCAGATTTGTGCTTGCAGTACTCCACTCTCTAGCTTTGGGCAAAATCATTTTTTTTGTGCTTCTTCATGTATTTTGAGTGCAAATGTATGCGTCTTTATTCACATACACACAGGCGCAAACACACATCAAGCGCCTTGAAGTGGAAATTGAGGCTCAAGCGCACCCATGGAAAGGCGAATGAAGTCCGACTGCACAACTATGAAAGCCTTTCAGCTTTCGGCAGCCGATTCCCAAGATTGGGATCAAAGGGTGCCCTTCAATAGAAAGTTAAGCAAGAACACAATAGCAGTTATATTTATTATCTTGTTTATTAAAGGATATTATAGGAGCATTGTGGTTTGGCGCCGCTGTCAAAAGCTTCGCTTTCAGTGACCGCACTTTTCTGGCCTCGCCATGCATGAAGGTGTTTGGAATACTTTCGCATCACCCTTATTGAAACACATATTTGTCCATATGGCAGGACATTGAATTCTCACCGGTTGTAATCCATAGGCAGGATTCCGGTTTCATTGTTTTTTTCACCCTTCCTTCGAACCAGCGTGCTGGGAGAGGAGGGTTTGGGTCTGTGAGCTCTTTGAACCAGAAACGGCATCGGCCAATCGTTTGGTCCCTCAAGCAAACTGTCGTTTCGACTGTCATGCTTTCAGTGACCGCACTTTTCTGGCCTCCCCATGCATGAAGGTGTTTGGAATGCTGCTTTCGCATCACCCTTATTGAAACACATATTTGTCCATATGGCAGGACATTGAATTCTCACCGGTTGTAATCCATAGGCAGGATTCCGGTTTCATTGTTTTTTTCACCCTTCCTTCGAACCAGCGTGCTGGGAGAGGAGGGTTTGGGTCTGTGAGCTCTTTGAACCAGAAACGGCATCGGCCAATCGTTTGGTCCCTCAAGCAAACTGTCGTTTCGACTGTCATGCTTTCAGTGACCGCACTTTTCTGGCCTCCCCATGCATGAAGGTGTTTGGAATGCTGCTTTCGCATCACCCTTATTGAAACACATATTTGTCCATATGGCAGGACATTGAATTCTCACCGGTTGTAATCCATATGGCGGGATTCCGGTTTCATTGATTTTCTCACCCTTCCACGTACCCCAGTGGATGAATCCACTGCTTGACTTGTTAACAAGTCGACCAGAAGGCACGGTACGTTGTGACCAGCTGGAAGGTGACGCCACTAGGCCTGCTAGCTGAGCTAAAGCATCACATAGATACAATCGGGCCACACTCACACTGGCCCACCTCCCTCGGAGGTTCCATGAGGCCTGTTCGATTAAAATACGCCGTAGCGCCGCCTCTTCTCAAAGAATAAGGCCTAAACTGCAAATGATCAACTCTGAAAAGTTTCGTGCGATCGTGAAACTGCCTGCGAAACTGCGTTCCCGTACCTGTCCAAATCGGAGCCCTATACAAATTGGCTTCTTTCTTTACAAGGAAAAGTTCTTCAAGCAAGACAAGGAGTTTTGGATTCTGTATGGTCACAGATTCCTTCACATTATGCCTCGTGCCACCTTTGGAAGCTGGAAGTGTGACCAGCCCCTTTCCATTGCGGAGCAACAAGTCCACAGGACGAATGGACAAAAGTTCTCCTGTACGAAGGAAGCAGTCAAAGCCAAGCCCCAGAAGTGCCGCCATACTCATGTGCCCCCTTTGCACGGCTCTTGACATCATAGCCCAGCACAAATCCGCCGGCAAAGGCCGGGCACGAGATGGCACTTCCATCTTGCGCCAAACTGCAAGTTGCTTCCAGCTCACCGGCAATCGCTTTCGGGTACTAGGAAGAAAATAGTGGATCCCAGACAGAGCATCTCCAATGAGATTCAAAGGGGCGCCCTTGTGAAACTGCATCTCTATCCAGTCAGCGATTTGATCATCCATGTCTTCCACAGATGAAACATCTGATACCACCTTGCAGAGTTTGGTCACCGCCAGGTAGGAACGACCCTGTGTCTTTTTTGCTATGCCCGCGTCACGCAGGCAAATACCCTGCCGCGCCTGAGCTCTCGCACGGCGATTTCTGATGCCAGCAAAAGAAGCATATTTTCCCATGGCTATAGTCTACTTGCTTCATTCGTGGGACTACTGGTACTTTCAACATGCATAAGAATGGGATAGAGGTTAAACGCGAACTCAACTGCTGCAACCTGGCGCATCACGCTCATCAACATGTCACTGGATGATCTTCCCTTAAAAAAAAAACGACATAGAGACATAGCTATCAGTTAAGTGCACAAATCTGCAATCCGCTTCTCCAAGATGTTGAACACGCCATCTCAGGGCCAAAAGGATACTGCGCATCTCCAATCTGTTAATATGTTCCTTTCTTGCCCATCGACAACTGAAAACGCCTTTCCAATTCCACCACTCCGGATTTGCTGATTGTCGCGGATAGGCTCGGGGGTTCATAACTGCACCTGAGGCTCCTCTTACATCTGAACCGGTGTGGTTCACTCTCGCAAGCAATAACTTTCCCAGTCCAGACACTGACAGACAGTCCCCAGAAGGACTCCCATAGGACAACGACCTGACAAGAGGAGAGGAATCACAAGGGGGAGAACAGAAACCCGGAGCCAATCCCATACGTGAACACAGGTGCTTGTACGAAAGGGGAGGTAACCATTCCATACAGGAAGCCCATGCAAAGATGACGAAGGAATACATGTTGAAGCTGTCCCCAACCAAAGAACATCGCTGGTCCTCATAGTCGCTGTAGCTACGCTTGATATCGCTCGCGGAGTAACATACACTTGTATGAAGAAAGCCATATCCATGCAGCAATTCTCGTTCAGGTGCCTCCAACAACCGCCAGCCCCTGGGACTCCACAAGATATAGGGTTCTTTGTACTGGTAGGGAGGATACCTGAAATCGTCACTCCTCCATCTCTCACGGGCATCTTCTGGTGTACGTGCCAACCCCGCAGGCCCGGGGGGAGGAGCTACGCGTTTAATTGCTTTCATGCAGGTAGGGAAAACCGCTCCACTGTCACAGCTGGGCCACACACTGTCTTCTCAGATCCATTGTTGTACCAAGGGATACTCACACTCAGCCACGATTTCAAAGTAGTCACCCTTGTCTAACATAGTCACTCCTTTCATCCATGGCAGGTCTTTGTTGGTCCAGCAGAACCGTGGTCTTGAAATTGGCACCGCATCAGGGCTCTGCAACTTGAAAGGTTTCACTCCCAGGGCCATTGAGATCTCATGGGCCGCTTCCTTGTCCATAGACGAAACATTCTCAACGTAGAAATAGATCTTAGACCTTCTCCCAAAGACCTGCGGTAACAATTCCAACACCCTCAGCACTTCAGAGAACAACCCAGAATGCTCTCCTCGCAAGTTAAGCCTCCCCAGTTTCACTGCACTTAAGTCCACGCACGGAAATCCGGCCCAGACATCCACCTGGGTCACATGAGGGTATTGTAAGAGCCATCCCTTAACCATTTTCTTGTCAATCTCCCTGACGTCCCCCTTCAAGACGGCATGTGGCCACCTTCTTGATGTAACCCTGGTCGCAGGTTTGCTCACATCAAAACCAATCAGCCCTGCTGGTTTGGCACCCACCAAATCATAAGCACGGAACGCACCCCCTATCCCGTTAAAAAGGGATAACACCAGAACCGGCACACGTGGACAACCTACTGCTGTTTTTGTCAGAGCTCTCCCAATGTCCTGACCTTCTTCCGTGAATTTGGTTGATTGCCCAATAGCACCCCCCGTTCCTGAGGCATCAGACGCGGTAGCAGTGTTACTTACCGAGGCTCCCAAGAAGGTATGGAACAAACAACTCCCCAAAAGAAGCGTAGCCAATTCACGCCTTGCCCGCAAATACTGGCTACAGCTGATTTTCTTGTTACTCAACCACTTCCAAACCCAGTGAAGGCTAGCCATACCTGCGTCTAAACTGTAACACGTGCACCCAGCGCCCAAATACAACTTGAAGCCACTTGCGAGGAAAACGTCTCTTACTCAATAGCACACATGTAGTTTGGAAGAGGCGCAGCAGTCGAGATGAGGACACCCCCAAGAGCTTAGCATCCCCATCAAACTGCTCGCCCAGTTCCTGTACCTGCTCGCTTCCTGTAACCTTCTTTTCTGATGAAAGCACACCTGCTCTATTCCACGCTTGCTCTACCTCAGCTTGCAAGTGCTCGGCAATCTTCTGCTCCTCTCCTCCAACGACCTTCTCACCTGAAAAGAAGTTGTCCAAATAAACATGAAACCAACCTCGGCCTTCACCTTTTCCCTGTTTAATTGTCTCAACCAACCATTCAGGTAACGGCTTGTGTCGCATGACCTGCATAGTCCCCGGCATCCCCTGACTTTCAACTATATAACAATTGTGAAACTTCCTTCATGACAGAAACCGCCGGAGACCAACCCATGGGAAGAACTTGACAAGCCAGACAAAACTTCTTAGTTGCATCTCTTCCGGTCTCACTCCCATTAACCACTAGGTTGAAAGCCAAAAACCGGAGCCAGCACGGCGGTAATTTAAACAGATAAAATGCCGAGGTCATGTCATTCTGGCGCATCTTGAGAGACTCACCTTCTTCCAACATCACCGATAAACACTGAATGACCGCAGGCAGTTGCTGTACCCTAAGTCTCCAAAGCTAGTAATTTTACTCGCCCTGAATTTTACGTAAAATTTACTGTTTTACTAACGTTAGTAAACGTAAAATTTTACTAACGTTAGTAAAAATTTATTAACGTGAGTAAATGATTTTACTAACGCTAGTACAAAAAAAATGCATGTTTTAATGCATGATGAAAAATATGTTTTTGTGTACGTTTTTTTGATGGATTTTGATATTTTTTGGATGTGTGTGGTTGTGGTTTGTGATGATTTGGTTATGAATGGGGTGTTTCCGCTGGAGGATTTCAATCGATATGTTGCTGCTTCTGTAGTAGAGTGTTTATGAATGACTTTACTTGAGGTTACACTGGAGACTTTACTTGAGACTTCATTTGAGGTGTCTTTGATACTTGCGCGAGACTATACTTGAGATTTTATTTGTTTTTTGTGTGAAATCATGTATCGATATATAAATAAATAAATATATATATATGTATGTGTATATATTGCTTGTGACTTTACTTGGGATTACCAGTGTTGCTTCTGGATATATGATTGGTTTGTTTATGTTTTGCTTTTGCTTGAGCTTTTGCAAAACAGTGCGAAGCAACACAGGTAAATTTTACCTACTTGCCATGATTAAGTTATATAATATGCTATTTGTAGGCATTCTATGCATTCTATTTGTAGGTATTCCCCGGTAGGATTTTACGCAGACCTTTACATGAGACAATAGGTACCTAACAACCTCTTTTAGAATGAAGGCTCGCAATGGTGCATACTGAAAGCGGTCAAGAGTGCACAAACTTGAGGCCATAATTTGCGCAAAACTGTTGTTAGCCACGTTCGTTCACACAAAAAAAATGTATAATTTCGTATATTGAAATGGTAGGCATTTTGCCCAAACATGATCCACACAATTATTGGGTGAAATACCAAAACCCTGATTCCAAACAGTTGCGTTCCTTTTGGGAGCAGCACGGTGCAGAAACAATTGGACTCATCACATCGGATAAATCCCTTTTTGACAAATGCGTCGAATTCTATATTGTATATTTTGTGAACTGAATCATCCCTTGTCCAAAAATGATTCTGTATTTTTTATGATTTCATTGCAAGATGTTGCATGTTTGACCTCACTTGAAAGATAACAACTGTCCTCAACAATTTGGATGATATACCAGCAAAAGCAATTATATATATATATAAATCCAATGATTGAAAAAGGACTTTCTGCTACCAAATGCTAACCATGACTTTACTAGAGAAAAAATGATGTGACTTATATCTGCTTTACTTGTCAAGTAATCCGCTTTAACAAACAGTTTTACTCTAGAATGTTTCACTCAAGTTTAGTTCAGGATATATTTAATCAATTTTACTTGAGTTCTAGCTCAATGAACTTTAGAGATACTGTTTGCAAGGGTTTTGCTTGAGACCCAATTCAGAAGGAACTTCATATTGGGTTTTACTTTGGGCATGGTTCAAGTTGGATGTTACTTGAGATTATCCTTGGCTTTACTTGGGACACAGTTCAAAAGGAACTTTACTTAAGATTCAGTTATACAAATGAGCCTTGCTTTAGATTCATGTCAATGAACTTTACTTGGGAATAATTTCACTGAAGAATGCTCAGGATGATCTTGGGATCACCTCCAGTGAACTTTAAGTGAGGACTGTTCCCATGATCTCTTGGCCAATGCAATCTTACAAGAACATCAGTGTTTTCTTTCTGATTCAAAGAAAGTCTCATGGATTTCTGATGCACTTTTGATGCACTTTTGATGCACTCTTGATGCGCTTTCTGGCTGCACTCCACAAACCTTATCTGAGATTGCTTCCAGTGAACTTTACTTGAAACTGTCTGCATGTTCTTTTTTTAAAGTTTTGATCAGAAATAGTTACTTTCCAAACATTTTTTTGTAAAATGCCGATGCATTTTTGATGCATTTTTGATGCACTTTTGATGCACTTTTGGTGCACTTTTGATGCACTTTTCATGCGCTTTTCAAAAGTGCATCAAAAGCGCATCAAAATGTATTAAAAGTGCATCAAAAGTGCATCAAAAGTGCATCAACAGTGCATCAAAAGTGTATAACAAATTTTGATATAGTTCATCTAAATTTCTTCAAAATCTAATGGCACGTTCTTGAATGCTTGCAGCCACAAAACTGGATCAAGAGGATATGAAAAGCGCAAGAGTGTTTCCATAAGTTTGTATTTTTAATAAATTTTCAAGAACCCACCAAAGGTTTTTGAGGATTCCATCCAAATCTTTTGACATATTCATGGGGAAAAATATCAAGAACTCCCCACACACGTTATCACAACTATTGTCAACTAAGAGAAAATGAAGATGTCAGAGCAAAAACATAGAGTTGAAACAAATTTGTTGAGATCAAAACTAAATACATAAATTTCCTTGCACCCCAAAAAAACATAGATTTCAGAGACTTGGATTTGTTTTTTCTGAGTTTGATAGATGGTTTGTCTCTATGCAGTTGCATTCCTTTTTTGTGTAATTGCAATCCTTCTCTGTGCAATTCCAAGTTTTTGACAATAAACAAATAATTAAATGAAACACATCTCTTGGGTGCAGATTTTGTTGTCTTTCCTGTTTTCAGTCTGGGGCACTTTCCCTTGCTATTTGTTGCGTTTTGGAGCTAAAACATGCAATTTGTTGAATAGTGGGGCTAAAATATCTCATGCGCGTTGCGCCCCATTGTTTCTATGGTTTTCATTGATTTTGCCATGGTGTTCTTTTTTTTGATGCTTTTGGCTGAACTTGACACGGTCTTCATTCATTTTTCCATAGTGCTCATGGATTTTTGAATTGTTTTGATGGATTTTTAGATGATTTTCATCGTTTTTTCCACGACGTTCATTGATTTTTAGATGGTGTTGGCTGATTTTTACATGTTTTAAGTGATTTTAAGTGATTTTTCCATGGATTCTATTGGTGTTGCCATGGTGTTCGTTAAGTTTTGCATGTGTTCATTGATTCTTGCCTGGTTTTCCAAGGTTTAATTATTTAGGGATACACGATGTACACAAAAGTAACTGTAAATATTTAGATGTAAATTCATATATATATATCATTAGTTAACAAAATATTTATATTCAAATAAATATATATATATATATTTAAAAATCTGTATACAAAACTATATGTATATAAAACTGTGAATATAAAACTATCTATAAATAACTGTTTAAAACTTTATGGTTATATAACTAAATGGTATGTATGTATAACTACAGATGTAAAACTATGTATTGAAACATAACTGCATATGTATATATATATATATATATATTCCACTATTATATATACACATACATGATTATATATTAAAAATGTGGAACAATGTATTTACAAGTATGCAAAATTTGGATTCACATAAAAAACCGGAAGGGGGGGATTTGGGGAGGATGCAGCGCCACCCCCAAAAAGAAAAATGAATATGGTACTCAGGGTGTATATACTGGGCAACATGTATCTTGTGACCATATGGAACGCAGGTTGAGGCAGAACCGTGACAGTCATGGAAAACGTGGTGAAACACAAGTCAGGTAGATATAGTGGGAGAATAGATTTGAACAAGTGTCCTGAAATACTGTTTTCAGAGCTCAAAAAAGGGCTAGTTAGGACACTTGTTGAAAACATATGTCAATTCCTCTCACAAAAACATGCAAATAAACTCAAAAGTAAAAAAATACAAAAGCCAAGAAACCGCAAAAGCCAACGATCCAAAACAATGTCAAGTATATACCTTCAATATGTATTACATTGACTTTACTTCATAACATGTTTTCTTCAGAAATCGCTTGATATAGGAAGATGATTTTACTTCAGAACATTTACTTTTTACTTGAGAAGTCACTGGGAGAAATTTTATCTTTCTTTCATAGTATTTACATTTTGCAGCAAAGGACATATCCTTATACAGGTTCCACATGCTAATTTCCGCACATTGCTCACAATATTTGGACATTCCTTCTGCCTCTTGTATCAAATTCAAGGAAATTCGAAAAACTATCACACATCTTTTGGCGCATTCATGATGCACTTTTGATGCACTTTTGATGCACTTTTGATGCACTTTCCTTTTTTTTGAAAATAACGTAAAATCTTCTGGATTAGTAAAATTGCTACATTAGTAAAATTACTAGCTTTGGAGACTTAGGGTACGCGCCCTGTAAGTTGTAAAAGCACGCTGTTACTGGGGATGAGGTTCATGATAACACGAAGGTGTGACCTCCCGTCTTCCAAACACGCACCCTTTGCCACACCAAACATTCCGTTCAACACCTTGGCCTCCCTAAAGGAGATCACCTCCTCCAATTCAATCCACTGACAAATATTTCTTTCAATCAGCAGGCTTCCAACAGACATCTTCTATATAGTTTGGGGCAATGTGAACTTTCGCTTGTAGCTTAGGTAAGAGCTGTCCCTCATCAGAAGCTAGGCAATCAGAGGGGTTCACAAGAAAACTACGCGTCCGTCCCTTAGTCCAGTCCAAAATGCCGATTGACCCTCCATGTGCTCCCGGTGGTAAAGCTGGTGCAATCTGATCTTTGGTTATAAAACCTCCATCTTTGGCACCTCTTCGCCTGTGTAACTCACAAATCTGCTGCTCAATTCTTTTTCAACGCTCTCGGACGAGCGCTCAGCCGGAGAATCCAAGCGCAAAGATCTCTGTACAGCGGCACGCACACTTGAAACAACAGTCGCATCGATCTTGCGCCAACGCCCTACAGGCGGGGATCGGCACCCATGCAACAAATTAATGTAGTGCACGGACAAAAGGGTCCAGCACTCGCCAGCATGATTGGCGACAAAAGAAAATACCAAAACATCACTGTAGGAGCTGCGCTTCAGCAGGCCCACAGTGAGCTCCAGCTCTCCAAGCCGGATGGGAAGGGCTTCCTGTTTACGGAAGCGATGCACGACGGAAAGGCCAACACCGAGCAAAGGCAACACCTCAGACAGCGATGTCTTCAGGCCGCCCGCGCTAACCTCCAGCTCAGCATGAACAACAAGCCAAGCCAAGAGGCAGCCAGCTCCCGCCAGCGTCTTGGCATCTTCCAATAACGGCCCAAAAGCGCTCCAACCCCCGAGGTCAGGCCCAGTACGGACCCGGCCCGACCCCTGGAGACCTTCCTTCTCTACTTCGCGGGTTCCTTGCTTTCTTTTTCTGCTGGCTTCCCTTCTTTGCCATCTGGCTTGTCCTTCTGGTCTGCCCACCAGTTCTTTCCTCGCCAGGCATCCCATTTTCCGCTCTGGTTCCATCCTCCTCCGACTTGAAATCCTTTTCCTTTGTTCTTTCCCTTTCCTTTGGCTTTGCCATACCATAAGGCTCCTCTTAGGTTATTAATAACCAAGCTATCTGCGAGGCTATCATCAAAATAAGAATAAACTATTTTAAGGTCATTCTTATTTTAGTTTTTTTTAAAGTTTAGGTTATTATAACATGTTTTTAAAGTTATTTTAGGATGTTGATAATTGAAACTTTCACGCGCTATCTAGCTGAATATCTAGAAATTTTCATGTAAAACATCATTGTATTGAACATGGTTTGCTTGCTTGCTACATTTTTAACAATGATAATTCATTGTTTTGTTTGTTTAATCTTTTGGTGTTTAAATGTATATTTCCATAAATGTCTTGTCTTCTTGGTTTTCATGTTCGATTGTTTATGTTCATGAAAATTATTTTCGATGTCTTTGTCAAAGAATGAAATGCCGATGTTAAGCTATCAAGTGTTTCCACATGCCTATTTTCATGTTAGTTTCCTGTCCATTTCTATGTCCATGTCCATTTTCATGTCCATTTCCATATTCAACTGTATTTTCCATTTCCATGTCCATTTCCATATCTAATTGTATTTTCCATCTCCATATCCATTTCCAGTCCATGTTCATGTCAATTTCCATTTCCATATCCAAGTGTATTATCCATTTTCATGCCCATTTCCATGTTCATTTCCATGTCCATTTACATATCCTTTGCATTTTCCATTCTCATGTCCATTTCCATTTCCATGTCGATTTCCATATTCAATTGTATGTTCCATGTCCATTTCCATTTCCGAGTTCTAATTTCCCATTTCCATGTCCATGTTCATGAGCATTCAACTGATGTCTATTTTCATGTTTTTATTTTGTTTGTCCATGTCCATTTCCCAATGTCCAATGAAATTCTATTACTTTAAATTGTTCTTTCCATTTCTACTTCCGTGTCCATTTCCATTTCCCAATCTCTAATGAATTATTTCTATTACCTTAATTTGTTCTTGGCATTTCCATGTCCATGTCCATTTTCTAATGCTGTTTAATTGTCTATTACCTTCTTTAATTTCGATTTTCATTTTTCTATATCCAATGATTTCTATTTACTGAATCCATGTCATTTTCGTTTCCGGATGGATGATGGCAGCGGTGAAGAGGACGTCATGTCCGGAATCGGGCACCAAGCCCTACTTTTCATTTAGCGAATAGCTAAAGCCTGGAATAGCCAGCTCAGTTGCTTCAAATCATTCGCAACCGTGATGCTGGCGAAAAAGTTTTTTGCGTTTCTCTTTCCTTGAGTTGCATTTCATGTTATCTCAAATATGTTCATTTCTGTTTCTATGTCCCATTTCCGGCTGTTCCAAACATAGCTTTAGGCATAAAAACACGTTTTCCAAATGATGTTCTGAGTGAGTGTCCGGCACTATAAAAACTGGCTCGGTCCCCAAATTGACCGATTTCTTTTTACTTTGTGTACTAAAAAGTATATTTTTTCGCCGCCGCATAGAGATGTACAAAGGCTTCGAGAGCAAAGGCCACATGGGGAGAAAAAAAACAACATGAAATGGGTGGAATATTCTAAGTACATTTTCGGCAAATTTGCCTGTGCAATCTAAAAAATCATATTCTATGTAAGCGCAGAAGCTTAAATTCCTATATTGATCTATTGACATAACTAAATTTATATGAACACAAAGTTATCAATCAGCTGTGGAGACCCCCACACTTAGAACATCCCAAGACATTACAACATATACTTGAGAGGGGGAACACGAAAGGTAGGTAAGCAAAAAAGGAACCGAAGAAAAAATGAAGGGGAGAGGGGAGGGAAAAATACATAAAGTGGAGTCTGGTAAAAGCGACGCGGCCATTTTGTTTCCAAAAATATGAAGGGGAATCTGGTAAAAGCGACTGAAAGGCTTCGGCGATGTGGTTGGGGTTGGTGGTGGTTGTGGTGTTGGTGGTGTTGGTGGTGTTGGTGGTGCTGGTGGTGTTGGTGTTGTTGGTGTTGTTGGTATTGGTGTTGTTGGTGTTGTTGGTGGTGGTAGTGTTTCTGGTGTTGTTAGTGTTGTTAGTTTGTGTTGTTGGTGTGTTGTTTGTTGGTGGTGTTGTTGTTGTTGTTGTTGTTGTTGGTTGTTGTTGTTGTTGTTGTTGTTGTTGTTGTTGTTGTTGTTGTTGTTGTTGTTGTTGCTGTGTTGTGTGTTGTGTGTTGTGTGTGTTGTTGTGTGTTGTTGTGTGTTGTTGTGTGTTATTGTGTGTTGTTGTGTGTTGTGTGTGTGTTGTGTGTTGTTGTGTTGTTGTGTGTTGTTGTGTGTTGTTGTGTGTTGTTGTGTGTTGTTGTGTGTTGTTGTGTGTTGTTGTGTGTTGTTGTGTGTTGTTGTGTGTTGTTGTGTGTTGTTGTTGTGTGTTGTTGTGTGTTGTTGTGTGTTGTTGTGTGTTGTTGTGTGTTGTTGTGTGTTGTTGTGTGTTGTTGTGTTGTTGTTGTTGTTGTGTGTTGTTGTGTGTTGTTGTGTGTTGTTGTTGTTGTTGTGTGTTGTTGTGTGTTGTTGTGTGTTGTTGTGTGTTGTTGCTGTTGTTGTGTGTTGTTGTGTTGTTGTGTGTTGTTGTGTGTTGTTGTGTGTTGTTGTGTGTTGTTGTGTGTTGTTGTGTGTTGTTGTGTGTTGTTGTGTGTTGTTGTGTGTTGTTGTGTGTTGTTGTGTGTTGTTGTGTGTTGTTGTGTGTTGTTGTGTGTTGTGGTGTGTTGTGTTGTGTGTGTGTTGTGTGTTGTTGTGTGTTGTTGTGTGTTGTTGTGTGTTGTTGTGTGTTGTTGTGTGTGTTGTTGTGTGTTGTTGTGTGTGTGTTGTGTGTTGTTGTGTGTTGTTGTGTGTTGTTGTGTGTTGTTGTGTGTTGTTGTGTGTTGTTGTGTGTTGTTGTGTGTTGTTGTGTGTTGTTGTGTGTTGTTGTGTGTTGTTGTGTGTTGTTGTGTGTGTGTTGTGGTGTGTTGTTGTGTGTTGTTTGTGTTGTTGTGTGTGTGTGTTGTTGTGTGTTGTTGTGTGTTGTTGTGTTGTTGTTGTTGTGTGTTGTTGTGTGTTGTGTGTGTTGTTGTGTGTTGTGTGTGTGCGTGTGTGTGTGTGTGTGTGTGTGTGTGTTGTGTGTGTTGTGTGTGTGTTGTGTGTGTTTGTGTGTGTTGTGTGTTGTGTGTTTGTGTGTTGTGTGTTGTGCGTTGTGCGTTGTGCGTTGTGCGTTGTGCGTTGTGCGTTGTGCTTTGTGTGTGCGTTGTGCGTTGTGTGTTGGTGTTGTTGTTGTTGTCGTCGTTGTTGTTGTTGCTGTTGCTGTTGGTGTTGTTGTTGTTGGTGTTGGTGTTACCCCTGCAGCGTTTTTGCTCGGTTCCGTAGTGGCCGAAAATCGTCAAATCGGTGGTGTTTTCGCGTGTTTTTGCAACTCTCGGAGCAAAAAACACCGTAAATACCGATGTTTTTGGCGGGTCGGAAGCCCAAAACCACGGTATTTACGATGTTTTTTGCCTCTGGTAGTAAAAAGCACGGTATTTACAGTGTTTTTTGGCCAGCACCTAGCAAAAACACTGGTATTTACGGAGGTTTCACCATGTAGCAAAATGTGGTTTCTTGATCCGAAAAGAACAAAAATACTGTAAATTACAATGTTTTGAGTCTGCTCTTAGGGTGCGTGGGAGGTGTGGAGGGGGGGGGTACTAAAATGACTAGCAATCTCCTGAAGAATCAGGTAACGGGGCTGGCCGCCCTCCCCTTTACTTCGTAAAGTAAAACTCAAGGTAGCCCCTCTGGAGCTACCTTTCGTGATATATATATATATATATGATCTATTGGCACAACTATATTTTTATGAACACAAAGTTATCAACCAGCTGTGGAGACCCCCACACTTAGAACATCCCAAGACATTACAACATGTTTTTTTTTTTAAATAATGATCTCTTGACATCACTCTCTTTATTTGAACACAAAGTTATCAATTAGCTGTGGAGACCCCCACACTTAGAACATCCCAAGACATTTCACATATAAATATATATATATTTAAATCTATTGACATAACTATATTTATGAACAAAAAGCTGTCAATCAGCTGTGGAGACACCCACACTTAGAACATCCCAAGAATCATTTCACACATATATGTATATATAAATTTCTATAATGATCTATTGACATAACTCTATTTATACGAACACAAAGTTATCAATCAGCTGTGGAGACCCCCACACTTAGAACATCCCAAGACATTACAACATGTATATATATAAGGTCCTCCACCCACACAGAATATGGAATTGAAATTTTGGCTTCCCCGGGCATCCCAGGAATTGAACTTGAAAAACGATACTGAGAATATCTTAGAATACAGTTGACGTCAAAAAACCTATACTTAGAATACCGTTGGACCATATAATTTTTTTCGCTTGTCCAGACGAATTCGTCATGTTTCCATAGAAATTCTTCACTTTTCTTTATAAATCCTTCACGTTTCCATACAAATTCTTCACTTTTCCATATTTTTTGCCATATAAATTCTTTCACTTTTTCAGTCGAATTCAGCATTTTTCCATATAGGATTTCATTTTTCTTTAAAAAATCCTTCACATTTCCATACAAATTCTTCACTTTCCCAGATTTCTTCCATATAAATTCTTTCATCTTTCCAGACAAATAGATAGGACAAATTTCACAAGGTGTTTGGTGATAAAAATTAAAAACTGGCAGGGTCCCCAAATTGACCGATTTTTTATTACTTTGTATACTAAAAAGTACATTTTTCGCCGCCGCATAGAGATGTACAAAGGCTTCGAGAGCAAAGGCCACATGGGGAGAAAAAAAACAACATGAAATGGGTGGAATATTCTAAGTACATTTTCGGCAAATTTGCCTGTGCAATCTAAAAAATCATATTCTATGTAAGCGCAGAAGCTTAAATTCCTATATTGATCTATTGACATAACTAAATTTAT